CATTTTTTTGTATGTATGTTACGCGATAGCTCCGTATGATTTGTAAATCGATTTTGAAGATTTTTTTATTGTAAAGAGGGTACTTCACTATTGGGTTTCATATAAATCTGAAAAAAGTATTCCACCTCTAAGAGTGGCAAACTCGCACCAATCCAATCGTGACACCAACTACTTCGTACAACTCTACAAACAATAATAACACCATGCGGAGGTCTTGGGTTCAATTCGGGGTGGGACAAATTTAGGAAATGAACTTTTCTAAATTGGTTCTGGGCTAAGTGTTCTTGGAAGTGCCTCAGAGTGAATTCCGTTACCTAATTTGAGACCAGGCAAATGGTGTCTGACACGTTTTATTCAAAAATAATGCTTGCTTCTCTACAACAAAAACGCTAAACGTATTAGCGACTATAATCCCCTGTCAGAGAGCTTACTGTTATGATAGTTTAATGCCATATTCTAATATTTCAAGCGACCGCGTGAGAGGAATAACTCAACGAGGATAACGTGATGTATATTGTATATGTACGTTATGTATAATATGTCAGTTCCGGAATAAAGTGATGGTTTCTGAATGGGAATAGTTTAACCTCTTAAGACCCTGTGTACATTAAATTGTACATAAGATGTGAAGTGAGTCTGATACAGACAATATTATTCCCATGATTACGTTTACGCCCATTGTAGATTGTAATGAAAACAACGCATTAAAATCCAGCGCCCTTTAATTATTAATAAAAAGATCGAACACTTAGAAAAAAATCCTTGGATCCGGCCGGATTCGAACCGACGCCGACGTCTTCTAGCAAACCGTACCAGACGCTATGCCACCTAAGCCACGGAACGAACCAGTGGACCTCGCGAATTTTTCTGTGCTTGTTTGTCGGATCTTTGTATTTGGTTTTCAATGACTTTTTAGCCGGAGCGCCATCTATGAGAAATCTATGAAAGTATTTCGTCAGCCAATTAGGTAACTTTGCAGCTACCAGCCCTGGCTAGAGATATCGCTATTAATTGTAATTAAATTTTTGTTGTTGTCCAGTGCTATATGTTGTAATGTCTTTTAAAATATTTATGTACTTTTTTAAAATTCAATTTTGGTTTTAATTTAGTTTAAGTTTCAAATTTGAATTTTAAAACAGACATAAATATTTTAAAACAATCGTTGAAACCTAAAACATGTTCCTCTGAAAAAATGTATGAGATACGCACAGATGGCTTTCTTGCCATTCTGAGGAAGTGGGTTGCCCCACTTTGGCGACGTGTGGGTGGGTGCCCCAACAGCATTCTGAAAGTTGTGGCTGATAAAATTGACTGCCCCATCCAGGCGCACTGGATGAAACTTCATATGGCGGTTTTAGTCTATTTATCTGTGTTAGATTAATTTCAATTTTATATTTAATGTTGTAATTATTCGTAATTGTATAGTTTTTGAATTTTAATTTTATAATTTTATGTTATATTAATTATATCTTATTTTGTTTTAATTTTAACATTTGAATAGCATCATACTAACCTTATTCCTAAATTATTTACTAACAAACTATGGATATGGAATTTCCATATGTAGTCTACGGCTGCATGTATCGCGTGAGCGGTTACATCCCAAAAATTTGAGAGGTACTGTCACTGAGCCCGTTACCCTGAGACATGAAGTTGACAAGTCGCATGTGCCAGTAGTTTCACCAGTATTCTTACTTTTCAAAAAATTGCGGCAGAAATAGGTACGGTGGCAGTCCTAGCTTAGACGAACTCTTTTACGTGGGGCGATCTATAAGTTTCCGGAATGAATAAAAAAATACTATAAATGATCAGAAATTAACTTATTGATTCTCAAAATATTCTCCGCTAGCGTTAATGCACTTTTTCATACGAATGAACCAATTTTGAGAACATTTATGGTACTCCACCGTGACAATCTCTGAAACATATTTTTCATACTCCTCGACAGCCTCCTCAGGTGATGAAAATCGTTGAGCGCGTAACTGGTTCTTCGTTTTTGGAAATAAATAAAAGTCACAAGGTGCCAGGTCGGGACTGTACACGGGATGGCTCATGAGATCAACGTTATTCACCTTCAAAAATTCATTTAATTGTCTGGTCGTGTGAGAACTGGCATTACCGTGGTGCAAGATGATACGGCGTTTACGGTTATTTTTACGGAGTTTGTCAACAACTTCCGGCAAACAAATGGTCGCGTACCAATCACTATTCACGGTACAACGGTTTTCCAAAGCAACAGTAGCCACGTATCCAGTTTTATTAAAAAAATAAGCACTCATCCGCTTAGAGGCACTTTGCACGCGCGCCACTTTGGTTGGTTTCGGCTCATCTCGAAAGACCTATAAGATCGATTGCTGCTTTGCTTCGGAATCGCAACTATAAATCCATGTTTCGTCACCTGTTACTATATTTCACACCTAATTTGACGCCCTTTCATTGAATCTGGTAAGCATGGCATTGCACCAAGCGACGCGATCCGTTTTTTGAGCCTCAGTCAAATTGTGTGGGCTCCACCGAGAGCACAGCTTTTACACACCCAAATGTTTGTGCAGTAATGATTGTATTTGACTCATGTCTATGCCTAAAGATGCCCGAATCTTATGGTTACCACATGCCTGTCTGTTGACCATACGGCACACAGCATTGATGTTTTTGTTGTTCACAGCATTGGCCGGGCGACCATCACGAAATCCGTCACTGAGATTCACACGACCGCGTTTGTATTCTACAAATCAGCTATAAATAGTCGTCTTGCGTGATGCTACGTCGCCAAAAGCAGTTTGAAGCCGAGTGAGGCTCCGCGTTGTTAAATTACACATAAAGTCATAGAAATTCATACTACGAAAATTTTCACCAGTTAAATCCATGGTGATGTAGACAACTAATTTCTAAAATGACGCCACAATGTAAAAATAAGTAACAATCAGATGAAACATACTGTATTCTACAGCCAAAGAGTTCCAAATGTTGTAATTACTTTTTAAATATTGTTTATGTAAGTGTAAATAAGAAACAGTATCACAATCATTTTGTTATCTCATTACATTTATGGAACTAAACATAAATATATAAACCTGTTAAATTATATACGTACAAACGTGGCAGCGAGGCTTGTATAAGTGCCATTTTCCACTTAGCTAGTTTACTTCAGAGTCGCGGCCGCGTCGATGGCTACGATATGACTTATTTGAATAAAACTATATAATATTATTTTTATAAATGTATTTATATGTCTATACAAATTCGTATTTCATTTTTCATACTCCCATAGTCGAGATACTAATCCGCAATTATTATTTTTTTATTAAAGCCTATACTGTCCCACTGCTGGGCAAAGGCCTCACCCCTCTCTCCACACCTCTCTGTTCTGCGCCAGAGACGTCCAATCTTCTAAGTGCGCGACTAGCTCGTCTCTCCATCGACGCTTTGGTCTGTTGCATGGTCATGCTCGGCCGATTAATCTGTAATGCTAGTATAAAAATATGTTCATCTTATAGTAGCTGTAGAGCTACTTGTGAAAGAGTTCGTCCAGGGAAGTGCTGCCAACTTACCTATTTCTGCCGCCAAGCGTGAGCCAAATGTGAGCATCACATACGGTTTTGAAGAATAAGATTGCTGGTGAAGTTACAGCCATATGGGACTTATCAACTTATGTCTCAGGGTGACAGGCGCAGTGGCAGTGCTCCTCAGATCTTTGTGATTTAACGCACTGAATGACACTGCAACTGTTATGGACAGGCGCGCCGCTTATCACCAGAAGCACGACTTTTTCGTCCCATCACTTGGTATTAAAAAAATAGGTAAATAAAATGTTTGTACTGCATTTGAATGTGCAGAATACCTTCATATTTTCCAATTATATTTTGCAACCAATAACTAAAATAATAATGTGACAACCTTACACTCAAAGCGATGTGAAGGCATTGCCGCGCCGACCAGGCCGAAGTTCCAGTACTTGTCTTATTTTACTATGCCGTAGTTTTATTAAAAAAATAATTATATAGAACGTATTAACAAATTAGATCTTCAACCACCATAAAGTTTCTGTACATTTGCATTTCATCAATATATACTCGTAAAAGCTTACGAGCGGAAGAAATGTTGTTCTTTCAATTATTCAAATTCCTAAAAAACACAACCCTAGAATCCGTATCTGAATGTAGGCCCTGAATTAACATTAAAATTTCTACCGAACAGATAAATTAGTTTGTTATTCAGAACACGGGATCTGGGATTTAGAGGCAATTCCCTTTTTGATCTCTCCTGTGCAAACAACGAGACTGTCGTGGCAGACGGGGCGTCTTTGCATAAAGTATTAGATAGGCTTCAATAAGGCTGGTTAGATGTAAAGATTTTCTTTTGGTTTCCTAAATCGGGGTTTTCTAAAGTACTCAAATCAAAAGGAACAGAGGACACTTCAAAGCATTTGAAATAAAATTATATGTAGAGTAACGGCGTCGATTCGTAATCTGTCGGGGAACCGCCTTCGATATACTTCCTCAAATGAAACTCCTTAATCTTATGAAGTGGACTGTATATTCATATAAAAAAAACTTATGTCGATCTGACTTACAACATGAACGTTTTACTACTAAGAGCGCAAGAAAGCGAATGAAGCTAAAAAAGTGAAAGAACACAAATACCAATATTCGCTTATATTTATACCGGTACGGTGTCTCCCACACCGTACCGATCCTATCAATTGGTCGCTACGCCGCTCGGCCAATCAAAGCCCCCTGAATTATTCATTTTCCTCTCAATTCTAGCTCGGCCAGACGCGTACGGCCGTCCGTAACATTCTCTCCTCAGCGAAGTCTTACGAGCTAAGGCTAGGTAAACAATGAAAAAATGATAAAATAGTATAAAAAAAGATAAAACAAACGATCTAAACGGTATACAAAACAAATCAATTTAAACTTAAACTACGTGTAAAAAAGTAAATACAAAGAATACAAATCTTATCCTTATTCTAAACATAATCAAAACAAAACCTAGCCTAATTACTTGGGGAGGACGGCCAACTTACGCGCCGGACGCCTAAAAATACCACCCCGTGTCCTAACTTGTACACTCCTAACTATGCCGTCGGTGCCTGGGTAGATTTTCACTACTTCCCCGCGCGGCCATACGTTCCGTGGTAACGTAGAGTCTACTATTAGGACTAAATCTCCGACGGCGAGATTTCTGCTTGAATCGGAGGGTGACCCGCACGGAATGAGCTGCGGTAAATACTTCCTAATCCATCTGCGCCAGAAACTATCTGCCAACGCTTGCGCCGCTCGCCATTGACGTCTATCTGTACTCTCACACGTTCCGATAATGGGCAGTACTTTCGGTTGCCCAAGCAAGAAGTGGTCAGGCGTGAGCGCCTCGGGCTCGGCCGGATCTGCCGATACGTGAGTAAGCGGACGCGCGTTTATAGTGTATTCTGCTTCCGCGAGCAAGGTTAACAAAATTTCTTCTTTTGGCGCTCTATTGTGCAAGGTAACTGATAACGCAGTTTTTACCGACCACACTAATCGTTCCCACGCGCCCCCTTGGTCCGGCGTGCCCGGGTGGATATATCGCCAGTCCATGCGCCGCGTTAATGCAAATTCGCGAAGCTCGGGCTCCCATTCTTTTATAGCTGCCCGTAGCTCGGCGTTAGCGCCTCTAAAACTCGTTTCGTTATCGCTGTACATAACTCCCGCCCAGCCGCGCCGTGCGGCCATTCTACGTAAGGCCATTATCGCCGAATCCGTAGTTAATGACGCGGCGAATTCTAAATATACCGCGCGCGTAGTTAGACAAGTGTATAATGCGCCCCAGCTTTTTTCGTGGCGCCTACCTATCGTAACTATCATCGGTCCGAAATAGTCTACTCCGCAACTGCTAAACGGTGGACTATACGCGTCTAGTCTCACAGCGGGTAAGTCTCCGAACGCCGGCACGGACGGCGTAACTTTTCTGGGACGACAGAAAGTGCACCCGTGTAACACGGTTGAACGTAATCTCAGCGCATAGTACATCTGTCTCACGTCGTTCGCGATGCGCTCGCGCCTGCCGTGTCCGGAACGCCTATATACGTTATCAACGCAGAGTCGAGTGAACGCGTTCCGTACGTCCAAAACCGCGAGTGACTTGACAGACTGTTTGATTTGAACTGCATTTATACGACCGTTCACGCGCACGACTCCGTCCTTTCCTATCTCGGAGTCGAATTTAAACAGCTTGCTGCTACGCGGCAACGCTTTTTCACGCGTTAGGCACGCGATTTCCTCGTTGAACTCATCGGCCTCCTGTACGTGTCGTAACTCGACGCGGTTCGCGTATCTCCTGCACATATCTACGAAAGCCAATACTCACGCCCGTGCTCCTAATGGGCCTTTCGTAACTAGAATTCGGCCTATGTCGGGCAAGTGATCGAAACTGCCCTTCTCGTTTGCGTACGACACGACTACCTCGTCCTCAGTCGCGACAGACTCCTCCCGTTCGGTTGGCCATTTATCTTCCGATTCGTACAAGAACGCGGGCCCTATGTAGCATCTATCGCAGCTAGTTTTCATGTCGGTACTTCTTCGCGTCGCGTCTACTCCTACATTATCCGCGGTCGGCAGCCATCTCCATTGGTCGACACGAGTAAGCTCAGAGATATCGCTCAATCTGTGCTCTACGTAAGGAGTGTAACGCGGCTTATCGTTCCTTATCCAATGAAGTGCGGTTTTCGAATCTGACCAGATTATTACTCTATCGACGAGTACGCGGTGTTCTCGCAGTATGAAATCGGCCAGAATCGCGCCTACAAGGTTCGCTTGTAATTCTAAGCGTGGGATACTTGGCGCGCGAATCGGAGTCACCCTGGCCTTCGCCGAGCCGAAGGTAACCTTGATTTATCCGTTCCTATACGTTATACGCCGCGTATGGTAACTCACTGGTGTCACTGAACACGTGTAACTGCGTATTCGTCGTGTTCTTGTTAAATCCGAACTTTTGATCTAACCGTAAGTCGGCTACCGAGTCCATATCGGGTAGCCAATCTAAAAAGGCGTTATTCTCCGTCTCGGGCAAAACGTCATCCCAACCTACGTTAGACTTCTACACGTTTTGCAGTACTATTTTTGCCTTGACCGTATAATAGCTAAGTAAGCCTAGAGGGTCGAAAATTGACATGACGACGCTGAGGACTTCTCGCTTAGTAGGTCCTCTTTTCAGCGATCGTACCTCTCGCGGCACCCTATTCATGGCCGTGTTGAAGCGAAGTTCGTCACTTGAGGCCTCCCAAAACACCCCTAATGTTTTCCCCGCTCCGTGAGGGTCGCTTCCGCCTAATTCCTTGGCCGCGCGCGCCCTAGCTTCCACCGGTAAGTGTTCTAACACGAGCTCGCTATTCGAGTTCCAGCCCGCTAGCTGGAATCCCGCCCTCGCTTGTACCGTTACTACTTCGGCGACTGCTAGCACGGCCTTCTTCCCTTAGTTTCGGTTTCGTAACTATCCACCCAATCGTCCATATAATGATTCGACGTGATCGCGTCGAACACTACGGTATAGAATTGCACGTGTTCCTTAGCGTTCAAGTTTCTAACGCTGTGCGCCAGGAAAGCGGAACTTCGAGTACCAAATATCATCGAAATCATTTTATAACGAGTGGGCGGATTCGTTCTATCGTCCCCTCTCCATAGGAAAATTTGTGCGGGCTGATCGGCTTTGCGTATCTTAATACGCATGAACATTTCGCGCATGTCCGCCGATATGGCTACGTCGCGTACCCTAAAATGGATTAATACGCCCGGCAACGATCGTAACAAGTCGGGACCGTCTAACAGCTTGTCGTTCAAGCAAGTTCCGTTAACGGCGGCGGCGGCGTCGTGTACTAAGCGCAATTTGCCCGGTTTATTTACGTTCCGCACGGCAAAATGCGGAAGGTACCAGCCGATCGGGTTGTCCGCTTCGTTTCCCTCGCACGGCTCCGGATACCCCTTGTCTAAAAGGTTCTGGACTTGCGCTCTGTACGCGGTTCGCGCGAAGCGCTCGCTACGCGACTACTTCGCTATCTTAGATATTCCTATGCTATCTATAGCGAAGTGTCGTTTTATACGATACTCGAGCCGTTCGTCGAGATCGTTACACGCGTGCGATATGTCCGCTCGGTACGTATACACATGAAAGACAGTTTCATTCGTTCGGTCGAGTTAATAACTTTCGGTACCGTTCCGTGTACCGTCCAGCCTAAGCTCGTGAGGGAAGCGACCGGTTCGCGGCGCCCTCCTACCAAAAACTGACGCGACATGATCAAGTGCCAGTTATCGGCCCCTACCAAGATGCCTGGCTTCAGGTTATTATAACAAACTCCCGACCTGTCGAGACCTCGTAAGAGCGCGTATTCCAAGCATGACGAGTCTATAGTCTGTCTCGCTAATTTCAAGTTATGTACGGTTCGCGCAATAACTTTATGACTTTCGCCTGACTTTCCGCGTATATTCAATTCTACGGCCTTACTAGTCGATTCGCTCTGACTAGACCCTAGTCCGTGAATACGTAGTTTTTGCGTGGACCCCTCGTCCAGGAGAGCGTACGTACTTGCGCGTTGCCCGTTAGGCCCTATCATGCTAACTGGACACACCTTCAGCAAGACCGATACGCGGTTTTCCTTGGCCAACACCGACGTGTTGAGCACCGTCTCGACCTTCGGTTCCCCGGGTTTTGAGGCCGGCTTACGCTGCGTGTGCAATAAAGCGTGGTGCGGGGCGTCGCAACCGTCGACCCCGCACGACTTTGCCCTACACTTGAAACGACGGTGTTTATCTACTTACTTCTTACTTTCAAGTACTAGGCACTTGAAACACACGTTTACCTCCTTGGCCCACTTCCAACGGTCCTCCACGGTTATGGCTAGGAACTTCCTATACCGCGAGAGCGAGTGATCGCCACCACAACAAAGGTAAACCGATTTCCTTGTCACTTTGTTTACCGCGGTGGTGTTGTACACGTTCCTACGTTCGGGACGGCGCGCACGTGGTGGGCGAGGCTTAGCCTCGTGCCTCGTGCGTTCTACTATAAATTCCGGCTTACCGAAACATTGCTCTAATGTATCCATAATTGCCGACGGATTCGTAGCTGTGTACAGGAGCGTAGCGACTGCTTCTTTCGCTTCTCCCTTCAAGCTGACTCGTAAGCGCGCCAAATTCTCCGCGTCTGAGAATTTGTACATTCGAGTTAAGTCTATCATCGCGCGCTAAAATAGGAGCCAATCCGTACAGGCTCCGGTAAAAATTGGCAATTCCTGCGCCTGTCGCAGCGGTGGGCGAAACATTGCCATTTTCTCTAACGCGTCTACCATCCTATCAACGCCTCTACCTTTAGTTCCTCGCGGCGGCGATTTCGGCGAGCAGCGCCGCTCATACTCTCGCGCCTGTCCTCTCGCGGCGACGGTGAACAATGATAGCGGCGCTTGCGCCTGTACTCCCCCCGTTCCGTTCTATGGTTCGCATAGTCACGCCGCAATCCGCGAGGCGAATGAGGGGAGGGCGCCCGAGAGGCTCCTCCCCCTCATTCGCCTCGCGGATCGCGTGAGGTTAATAGAGGGGGTAGTTCTACCTGCTGCCTAGCTCGATCGCGTTTATCTAGCCATTCGTTGATCCTCACGGTAGTCTCAAACGGATTCTCAACGACGCTCTCACGCTCGCTAACGTCATCTTGTTCAAGTGCGGCCTGCGCGGCGAGCCTTTTCTGAATGAGCGCGGCCTGCAAGTCTAAATGTCTACGCCTAACGTTCATGTCTTCTAACTCCGCTTCTAGCTCGGCTCTAGCGCGCGCGGCTGCGCTAGACGCCGAGAAACGCAAATGAGCAGAATTACTCCCTACCCTACACGCGGCGGGACGCGATTCCGTTACGCGGGCTAAAGTCGCAGCGGGGTGAACATTACTCAACGGCGGTGCGGGCTTCGAGGATACGACACTGCCTACTTGACTAGTCTGGAGACTACTACTGTCCCCCGGGGGATCGTTCGGGATAACGCTCGCAGCGAGTTCGGACGGCGACTGCGGCGGTTCCTCGAAAACGCGCGGCTGTATCGCGCCTAATTGCTGCTGCCTCTTTTCCATGGCGGCTGGCTCGTCCTCACCGATACCTTGACTTCTAGTCCTAGGCATGGAGGCTCCTATCGCCCTATTACCGTAACACCCTAAGTCTTCAAGATCAACTCCTGTGCCTTGAAAAAGGCAGTCTTCTTGCCTCGAAAGAGGCAGTTGCCCGTAATGCTTGCGATTGTCACCGTTAGGTGCAGGCAACGGGAGATGAAACTCAGGACCTTGAAACTTAGTATGTTGACACTTATATCTACTAGTTTTACGCGGTGCTCCGTGACGGCTTCGGCACTTCGTGCACGTTGTCCTAGCACGGAGGACACGTCGGCTTCGGCTCTTTGCGCACGTTGTCCTAGCACGGAGGACACGTTGGCTTCGAGTCTTCGCGCACGTTGTCCTAGCACGGAGAACACGTTGGCTTCGAATAACTTTTCGTGAAGCGTGGTGTTCGATCGTACCCACGTCGACACAACCTTGGATCTTCCTATTCTTCGGCGCCGTGTGGGGTTCTTTCGTACCCACTACGGCGCATGATGATCTTCAATAATCAATTTTTTCGTGAAGCGTGGGGTTCGATCGTACCCACGTCGACACAATCTTGGAACTTCCTATTCTTCAGCGCCGTGAGGAGTTCTTTCGTACCCACTACGTCGCACGACGATCTTCAATATTCAATTATTTCGTGAAGCGTGGGGTTCGATCGTACCCACGTCGAAACAATCTTGGATTTTCATATTCTTCAGCACCGTGTGGGGTTCGTTCGTACCCACTACGGCGCTCGACGATCTTCAATATTCAATTTGTTCAAGAAGCGTGGGGTTCGATTCTACCCACGTCGAAACAATCTTGGATCTTCCTATTCTTCAGCGCCGTGTGGGGTTCGTTCATACCCACTACGGCGCACGACGATCTTGGCTCTTCAGTCTTGTTGAATCTTGTTTACTTCGATCTTGAACAGGATCAGACTTGTTCAATCTTGTTTCATATCCGGGTCGAAGGAAACCAATTATGAAACCTTCGCCAGTCTATTCGGCTCGAAGGGCCAAATATTGAACCTTCGCCAGTCTATCCGGCTCGAATGGACCAATTGTAAGATTAAACGGCGCCGATCCGTAATCTATCGGGGAACCGCCTTCGAAATACTTCCTCAAATGAAACTCCTTAATCTTATGAAATGGACTGTATATTCATATAAAAAATTTATGTCGATCTGACTTACAACATGAACACGTCTTACTACTAAGAGCGCAAGAATGCGAAT